AGGACCAAGAAAAAAAGGGGAGAATATTAGTTATATGATACGAGCATCTTGGGAAGAAACAAACGAAATACCAAGAGAAGTATAGAATAACTTGTATAAGAATCAAGGCCTCATGATATAATGAACATGATTAAGATGAAAAGAAACCGATGCTTATGAAAGCAGATGAAGGGTACTAAAGGATCGACAAAGTTTATTCTCCTGAGATCCCATCCTAAGCTAATTGTAAGTTGAGGTAAAACCTCAACACAAAATTAATAGATAGCAAGACTTTCATTTTATAATGGAGACAAGTTATTGTGATGCACAACATAGAGTATCTAGACAAATGTTGAAATTTGTACAAAAAATATGTGGTCCACCATGAAAGGAAAGTAGTACTCAACTTCATGCTTTCTTAAATATTATAGTTTCCACGATCTATACATTTTGACAAGTTACCTCTCCTTTTAAGATTATTTTCAATGCATTTAGATAATGAAGGAACTATATAATTGTGTCTCACTCAGGGTAAGATTTTTTTTTAAGACTGCACGTAGCTTTTTCTTGACTTTCTAGGATTGCGTACATCTCAAATAAAATTAACACTTTTTCGCCATAATCTATTTTTTCTAGAAATTAAATATCTCATAGAAAATGGGTAATCCTCATCATTAACAGAAAAAATATTGATAAAGAAAATAAAACACTAACTTCTTCTTGTCAATATCTGGGATGTCACTCCTTTCAGCCTTCTCAACTATCACCTGCACATGAAAAATAACAAATAAATAGATGAGAAAAGAGTGTATAGTATGTACAAATAAAGGAGAGGCACTCACAGGAATTCTATCAGGATATTTCTCCCTAATACGAGCAGCTTCAGCCTGTCTCCTTTCTGAAATATAGAACGTTAATTTTAGAACTAAAGTGAGAGAAACTAAGCTAATACTAATGGTTACAAGTTTAGACTCATATATGCATTACAATTTCTGTCGCAATAGCAAGAATCATAATCTCCGAATGGATAATGGAACTGTCAGTTAGACACGTGCAAAATGTTTGTATTACATCAAAAGTTTGTAAGACATAGAAAGACATTGAAACAACCACCTCAGTTTATGCACCAGCTCTTAAGCATAGAAGAAATAACGAGTTTTTATTATCCACGAAACAAGTCCATACAACTTCTGTATCCAAAAAACTAGTTCACTGGTTTGCTATCATCAACGATAACATTCAGTACTGATAATCCTCTAGTTCCCAAGGGAACAAGTTAATGCTTCACCAATGCTTATATCTTTTTCAGCCTAACGTGATTTCTCTTCCCAGTAGAATTACTACTACTACTACTACTAGAACAATAAATCCTTTACCCCAAAGTTTGTGGTTTGGCTACATGAATAATATTCTTCCATTCAATTCGGATGAGAGTTATCTCCTCCGTCAAGTTAACTATTAATAGTTGGTTCCAGCCGTCCTTTACTAATACTAAAAAGACACCAAGAACCAAATAAACATGTGTCTGCAACATACAAGACAACCTTATGAATCACTAGATGCAAGTATTAACCAAGATAACAGAATTAGTTGATACGGATTTCTATTGATACAGTCTAGGTCTAATCTGACTTATATCTTCAGGGAGATTTCCTGTATTAGGCTAGTCTCAGTGTCAAATGAGCTTCCATCCAAGTTTATTCCTTTTGGCAAAATTTCTTAGTGTTCTTGATCAAAGTTTTCTTTTTTACGCGAATTACAATCAAAACCCTAAATAAATACAAGCAATGATCCAAAGAATTCTCAATAAAGAATAAGATTCATGAAAAGAACCCTGATTTCATATAAAATTCATAATTGCGATTTTGCTGGAAAGCAAGAAAACAGAGCACAAACCGAGAGGATGTTCAAGCTTGAATGAATTCTTCGCCATTGAATCCTTTCGCAAGATTATTCTGCTCCTTTTCCTGCAAATTATAAAACAATTATTATTGAGATTTCTCACATTATATTTGGATATCACGTTGTTTTACTTATTTTCATGATGTTTTTACAAAAAATAAAACACCATGTGTTTAAAAATCATAATATTTTTTGAACTAAATCATGCTCAAACTAAAAAATACAATACTTATTTCAAAAAGATGTTTTAAATTGAGATTTCTCACATTATATTTGGATATCACGTTGTTTTACTTATTTTCATGATGTTTTTACAAAAAATAAAACACCATGTGTTTAAAAATCATAATATTTTTTGAACTAAATCATGCTCAAACTAAAAAATACAATACTTATTTCAAAAAGATGTTTTAAGTTTGGTGTTTTAGTTTTGAGTTTGAGAAAGTGTTAATATAATATTTAATATAATATATTAAATGTAATTAATATAAAGTTATTATCAACATGCTTATTATATTATACTATACTCTACTATATTATAGTTAATTTAATATATTAATAATATTTATTAAATAATATAAAAATATAATAAATAAAATATCTTATATAATAATATAATAACATATTAAATACGAGCATATTAAATATGTTAATAATATATTATATAATAAATAAATAATAATAAAATATAATAAACTAAAGTAATTAATAAAAGTTATTAAAAATATAATAATATAATAATATTACTATAACAGTATATATCACTATAATGTACTCCTCATGTAAAAAAAAAAAAAAAAAAAAAAAAAAAAAAAAAAAAAAAAAAAAAAAAAAAAAAACAAAAAAAGAAAAAAAAAAAAAAAAAAAAAAAAAAAAATAAATTAAATTATAATTAAATTAATAATTATAAAATATTATATATGTAACATATTTAATAATACAAACAATATAATAATATTATTATCTATAACAATATTGTATAGTAAATGCAATATAATATATAAAATTATTAATATATTATGTATAAATTAATATAATTTATTATAAAGTAAAATAATTTTTAATAATAAATAATTTATGTCTAACAAATGATAATATAAAAAAAAAAATAATATATCTAAAATATAATAATATTTATTATATCATAAATACGTAATATATATCAACAGTACTATTTAATAAACTCTAAGCCTGATTAAAAACTATAATAAATTATATAATATTAAAATATTTATAATATATTAATTATTAATAACATATGAGTAATAACATAATATTAATTTTATTATTAATGATTATATTATATGAATTATAGTATAATATTATAACAATCATAAAATAACATTATTATAAAAAATATTAATATAATATACAACAATAACAAATTGATATATCAAAATAATTAAATATATAATTATTTTAAAATAATATGTAATACTTATAATATAGTTGTAATTATAATATAATATAATTTATTAAAGTACAATACAATATTAATACATTATACAATATTATATTGCATTACATAATATACAACAATAACAAATTGATATACCAAAATAATTAAATATATAATTATTTTAAAATAATATGTAATAATTATAATATAATATAACTCATTAAAGTACAATATAATATTAAAACATTATATAATATTATATTGCATTACATTTAATACTTATAATACTATAATAATATAAACTAAATATTATAACATTTTATTCACAATATATTTTATTATAATTAATATATAATATATTAATAATATATTTAATACTAATGTTATAATGAGTTAAACTAGTGTTGACCAAAAATACTTAACATGGTGTTTTTAAAAAAAAATTAAGGTAAAAACACAACACCATAGTGTTTTTTTATAAAAACACAATAATAAAAACATCATGATATCCAAACGAAGCCTTAGTTATTCGGTTCACTCCTGTTTTTGAGCTACTATTACTTATACTAGTGTGGTGTATGTGCTTTGCAGGTAAGCACACTTGTTGATCATTTTATTGGGAATTTTTATTGTTTTCTAGAGAGAAGAATGAGGAATGGCCTAATTATTAAGATGTTATAGGTAAGTTGTGAAGAACTAACGATATTAAATGAGCTGATTGATGGATAGTGGGACTCAATGAGTCCAGATTAAATGTGTAATTGGTGGAAGGTTATGAAACTCACATTAATAAGTAGGTTATTATTCTAATAATGTTTTTTCTTCTTAACTATATGTTTATATTCTTATATATATGATTGTGAAATTATACTATATTCAAATAATCATATTCCCGCTAAAAGTACGAGTTCAGAAAATGCTTTCCATAATCAATATTACCATTTACTATTTTAAATATTTTATTTAAATCTTAATTTATCCTGATTCAAATTATATCTTATACTAATCCCGTGTGAACTACCTATAGCTCATCAGTTAAAAAAAAATTTAGATTAACAAAACAAATGAAACACTATTTTAAATATTTTATTTAAATCATAATCTATCCTAATACTAATTATATCTTATACTAATACTATATGAACTACCTATAGCTCAACAATTTAAAAGAAAAAATAAGATTAAGAATCATATGTAGCTAACATATTATAATACATGAAGTATTACCAAAAAACTAAACAATTTTAAAAATTACATAAAAACCCCACAAAAGTTTAAAATTACACAAAATACCTTGATTTTCAAAACTTAAAACAAGAAACATGAATTCTAAAAAGTAAAAATAGTCTCAGAAGAACTTAAAATTTTTAATTAACACCATTATAGAAATGACATCAAAAGTTCAAATTACAAAAAACCACCCTAAAATTCTAAAATTTTAAAACTTACAAACAATATAGATGAATTCAATGGATTAACAGTAGACTCTTTAAAATTTAAAATTAGCAAGAAATAACCTCAAAGTTATAAAAATTATAAATATTCCCTTAAAAGTTAAATATTGCAAAAACTTGAAATTTCAAAACGTATAGCCATTACACATTAAATCTAGAAATTGTTAATAGACTGCTGAAAATTTGAATTTTGCAAAAATCAACCCAATTTGTAAAAAATTACTTGTAAAATATCAGAGTTGCAAGAAATATCATAGAATTTAAAAACTTACCACCAACACACGAAATATAAAAATTATAAGCACCCAAACTTAAATTTTTTTTTAAATATTATATAAGTTTAAAAAATTACAAACCACACCCTGAAAAGTTCAAAATTACAAAAAATGTTGAAATTTCTAAACTTAATAAAGAAAATACTAATTGTCTTATATTCTTTCATTAAGATATACAAATTTAACTTTCAATTTAAAGTTTATTATCCGTTTTTAGCATCTAAAAGTAGTCTAAATTGATACAAGTAAAAAAATAGCAGTAACAATAGATTAAAAACATCTAGTTAAGGAATAAAAATTTAAAAAATATGTGATAGATCAAAAATTAACATCACGGTATAAATTAAAGGAATCGCATATAATTTTGCTAATAACATTAATTAATGATAAAACAATATAAGGAGTTATGTATAGAGAAACTATCAGAAAGATTAGAGATATCCTTCAAAAGAATGAAATTGTTTTTATTTCAGATGGAGAAGTGAAGAAAATAAATCAAAAATTCAAAAATGTTCATAAATCACTTGAATTGAAATTGACAAAAGTCTTATCAACTAAAGAAGCACTGATTGAATTCACCTTGAAGAACATATTGAACAACTTTGTCCTAATCAAATAAGCATTCTTCATGAAAAATACAAGAAAAATTAGTAAGTTTTTATAAATTTTCATAATTTATTTTTCAAATACTAAAGAAATCATAAAATTAATATAAAATTACATACAAAAAGTTTTACGATAGAAACTAAACTAAAGCCATTTATCAACTATGTTATGAGATGTAACAAGCCAAATAAGAGGAGAAAAATCACTATAATTGGCAAAATGAATATACACGATACTTATTTACAATAGTATAAGTTAAAAAAAAATTAAATCAACATTTCTCTTTTTCTTATACAGTGGCATGACTCAACGTGTAACTTTATTTGGGAATATGACTACCAACGAAGAATCAATTCTTGAACACACGATCAAAGATAAGCATGTAATGAAACTATCAGATTTCTATTCGTTTTTCATGAAATAAAATATCAAAATCAAATATTAATATTATAACCTAAGATAAATTGATAACAAAAAAATGCTATTATTTATTGTAGGTTCTCTTGGAAAATGACATAGACAGAGCAAATGTGATATTATTTGACGCAACAGAAACTCTTATTGGATGCATAATAGAAGAATTCATTACAGAGAAAAAAAGAGGTAACTCATAATCATATTTAAATAATAAATTAAAAATAAAAAAGTTTCATATATATAAAATTAACATTTATTCTCATTGAACCAAAAAATAATTAAAGTCCACATTTCCAGAAGTTTGTGTTGAATATCGAAAATATATTTAACTTCTTGAGAAGTGAGACAATAAAATAAAAGATGAACGAGCCTAGAGAAAGATAACAGCAAAATAAATCTAGCTCTAGCCTGATGTCATAATTGATGTAGACGATAAAGACACAACTCTAGAATTGTCTAAGAAAAAGATAAAGGTGGAGAAGGATTTATCTAGACTCAATAATATAGTGAAACAAAATGATTTGTTTCCTAAATTTTTTATAGAATAATTTAATTTTTTTGAGTAAAATTAGGGATATTTAGAAGAGATTTTCATGAACTTTTTAGTACTTTTGTATGCTTATGTGGATGCTTTATCATATAAAAGTTACTAGACTTAGTATTAATTTTTGTTTATAATTTTTTATGAAGTGTATAAATGATTACGAACAAACTTCATATCCTCTTTAGTTTAATTCTAGCCCACTTTTAATCAATCATCTTAGCTTATTGGCTTTAATTATTCAACTTACATTTATAACACTATTTTTAAGTGTTTTTAACTTTCGCAATATTATACTTTCTCAAGTCAAGCTTGGTTTCATGTCTATCTAAATAACATGAAATTTTAAATTAACTTTGGATTACATTTGTTTCATGTTAATTTAATTATC